GAGCAGCAAATCTTCTTCCTGGATCATATCTTTACTTGCCAACATTCTGCTTTAATGAACTGATGCTGACTTTGAAATATAAAGTCAAGGAAGTGCTACATTTAAACTTCATAGTCAAATCTTTTCATAAATATTGTTGATTACACTATTAAACGTTACAATAACTTAAACCTGAGAGTCTCTGCAGTATATCAAGCTAACTCTGTCATTATCCGAAATATGTTGATGGCTTTTCATAACATATTGAAAACAATTATGTCATACACTGTAGTGTGAGTGAATATCTCATAATCACAGAATAAGAAACTATATTTTTGCATAGATTAAATTACTGCTTATTATTAGCTTTATTAGTTTTACCAAATTCTGAAACAGAAAAAAGAGCACTATCATCCTCACAACGTCTTTCTTAGTTCAAATAAAAATGGGAACATATGCTAATATGAACCTAACATTGACATTATGCAATTATAAAATCTGATATAATGCACAAGTACCATAACTCTTAAACCTTTACACATACATTTAGTTTCAACCACAATAAATTTTATGATGCCATCAAGCTTAGAAGAAACATTGTACAGGAATGACAGAAGACTGAAGACCACAGCCTCTTTTTCCAGGACTCAAATACTGGAGTTGAGTGAGTACATACCTTTTTTTTGGTATTTAAGAAGTATATTGCTCTCTGGGTTTTTAATGGGTATTTAAAAGATACCCCAAAATAATTATTTACATTATTTCAATCAAGCAACACAAAATATTAGGTGTACAATTCAGTTTAGCTGCTTACCATTCACAATGACAATGATATCCCGGAAGTCAATTTCTCCTCTGGCTTCAACTCTTCCTTCACACCTGTAAACTCCTTCATGACTTTTGTTGATTTTAAAAATCTGAAGATTATTGTTTGGTAACACAGCAAATCTATCTGGAAAGGCATGTAATAGATAAAGTAGCATCAGCAATTAAAAGCATTGCCATGAGAATTGTTATGAATTTCTAAGACTGAAGCACTTGTGCTCATCAAACTGCAAAAGTGTTCATCAATAAGAAATTATCTATGATAAACTTGTTTCATTCCCATCTCTATCTCCCTCTTCCCCATGTGTGTGGGTGTTCACTGTTCAACACAGGAGAGTCTTCTTTGCCATTAAAAAATGCATTCAGCCCAGAATGTATCATATTTACAACATACCTGTAAGAAAAACAGGTTGCTTACCTTCAACTGAGGATCTTCAAGTGGTCATCTGTGCATTCACACCTCTGGGATATAGTGTGCCTGTCCCGACCCCGATCGGTATAATGGAAAGCAAAAGGGATTTTCACGCCTGCTCCCCGGTCACGTGCCGGGCTCCACTGCACACGACCAAGGGAGGGGCACGACAATCCCGCCAGTTCCTTCTGACCGCTGCCCTCAGTCTCCAAAGAAAGGAAGGAAGGACCGAAAGCAGAGGGGAAGGAGGGCAGGCAGTGTGAATGCAAAGATGACCACTCAAAGATCCTCAGTTACAGTAAGCAACTTGTTTATCTTCTTCGTGGTCTCTGTGCATCACACTTCTGGGAGACTAACAAGCAGTACCCACCTACCTGGAGGAGAGAGCTAAGGCCCTAAATCTGCACCACCTGCAACACCGATCGTCCAAACATGGAACGCTGATGAAGATGCACATCAAGGGCATAATGCTTCACAAATGTGTGAGGCATGGCCCAAGTAGCTGCGTTGCAGATATCGTCTAGCGACGCACCTCACAGGAAGGCTGTGGATGCTGCCACTGCCCAGGTGGAATGTGCCTGTAGTGGACCTGGGAGCGACCTTTTAGTCTCCACAATCTACTTGGATAGATATTGGGATGACAGCTTCTTCCCTTGAGAGGGTAGAGCATAAGAAACGAATAAGGCCGGTGATTTCCTAAAGGGTCGTGTTTGATTCAGGTAAAAGAGTAAAGCTCTTTTGATGTCCAACGAGTGAAATCGGCGTTTTTCCTCCGTCGAAGGGGACAAAAAGAACACTGGGAGAACACTGTCCACTTGAAGATGAAACTCAGAAAAAACTTTCAGTAAGAAAGAAACATCTGGAGCCAACATGACCCCATTGTGATGGAAACGCAAATAAGGGGGGTCACAGCAGAGTGCTGATAACTCTCCCATCCTCCTAGTGGAGGTAACCACAACTAAAAAGGCAGTCTTCCATGACAGAAGCTGCAGACTACAAGTAGCCATAGGCTCAAAAGATCTGTCCATAAGTCTCGTAAGCAACATGGGTAGGTCCCATGCTGGCGTGGGACCATGTGACGGAGGGAAGAGGTGGGTCAGGCCCTTAAGAAACTTCTTGGTCTGAGGGTGGGAAAAAACAAAATGACTGTCAATTGGCAGGTGATTAGTTGAGATTGCGGCTAAATACCTTCAACAAAGCACCTAGGTCCAGACGAGATAATAAGAACCCGAAGATTGCCATCAAGTCAGATGGGGATGGTGGCAATCCCTACGAGTCAAGGTGAGACAAGAATTTCTTCCACTTTCCAGCATAAGAAATTCGGGTAGATGGTTTGCGACAGTTCAATAGGACATGATCTATTCTGTCTCTGAATGCTCAAAAAGTATCCTCCAAACTGTGAGCTTGAGAAGCTGCACATCGTGATGCAATATCTGCCCTCTCTCCGCGAGGAGGAGTTCTGCAGCTGGAGGAAAATGAATGAAGGAGCCCTTGGATAGGTGGAGCAGAGTGGAGAACCAATGTTGCCGGGGCCACCACAGGGTCACTAAGAGACAGCATGGCTTTTCCTGCATTAGCTTGACTAGTACTCTGGAGATTAGAGGAATCGAAGGGAAGAGGAACACGTGAAGACATGACCATGGGACCAGAAGACCATCACCCAGAGACAAGGGATCTGTCACCACTCTGGAACAGAACAGACAACATTTTCTGTTGCTGGTTGTCGCAAACACTTCCACCTCTGGATGGCCCCAAAGGTGAAAGATTGGTTGGAGATATATCCAATTGAGCTCCCACTCATGCTCCGATGCACCTCCTCTGCTCAAGAAGTCTGCTTGGATGTTCAACGTCCCCGGTAGATGGGTGGCTCTCAGGAACGTGTTCCACGACTGACACTTGTCCCATAATTCCAACTCTAGTTAACATAGCCCCCTGGATATTGTACCTCCATGAATGTTGATATAACATAGGGCCGTTGTGCTGGGCCACCAGGTGTCAGAAAGACCTGAGTGCATACTGCATTGCCAGCAGTTCCAGAAAATTAGTGTGATGGTGGGCTACATGGGATTCCCATCGAGCCCCGATACAAATTCCCTTGAGGTGTGCGCCCCATCCCCAAAGTGACACATCGATAGTCAACGTGAGTGCTGACGTGGGCGGATGAAATGGGGCTCCTGCTAGGAGATTTACCGGATCTGTCTACCAAAGCAGAGAGCCCAAAGCAGTCAGTGGGAAGACCAGACTAAGGGATTGGGGATGACTCTGTGGGTGAAACCTGTGGATGAACCAGAGCTGGAGAGTTCTCATATGCAATCTGGGAAAGACAATGACATTGATGGTGGCCGCCATCAAACCCAGCAGCCACTGGATTTGTTTTGCTGTGGCATGCCCGATCTTGTGGAATAGGGTCACTAGATCGACAATGTCCCTTGCTTTCTGGGGAGGGAGGAGGCCTTGCAAACAACAGAGTCCAGGATAGCTCCTATAAACTGCACTCTTTTGGTAGGAAGGAGCATTGACTTTTGTAGGTTCACCTTGATGCCCAAGGATGTGAGGACGGACAAGGTTAGGTTGACATGGGTGAGCAGGGATGCCTTTGAGTCTTCTACCAATAACCAGTCGTCTATATAGGGAAATATCTGGACTCCCCTTAGACGGAGATGTGCCACCACAACCACCATAACCTTCGTGAAGACCCGAGGAGCCGAGGACAGTCCAAACGGAAGGGCTTTGAATTGGAAATGATGATTGCCCACTGCAAAATGGAGGAAACAGCGATGGAAGGGGTGGATGGTGACGTGAAAGTAGGCATCCTTGAGGTCCAACGTCACCATCCACATCCCTGGCTTTAGGAGTGGAAGAGTGGACTGTAAAGTTGTCATCCATAACTTTTTGTATAGGATAAAAGAGTTCAGTTTCCTGAGGTCCAAGATGAGGCGTAAGCCCCTGTCCCATTTCGGTACCGTAAAGTAACGAGAGTAGAAGCCCGTGAGGGGGCTACGGGTACCGGTTCTATAGCACCCTTGCTGAGAAGGGCTTGAACCTCTTTCAGGAGGATGACTGAAGGTGGTGTGACGACGACGTGGGTAGAGGAAGGGATTTGGGAAAACTCTATTAGATATCCCAATTTGATTATTGACAGGACCCATAGGTTCGATGTAATAAGCTTCCAAGTCGACAGGTGAGGAGACAAGCGCGTGGGGAACGCGGGGAGGAGATAGGAGTCAAAGACTCTGTTTGGGATTCCTAGTGGTTTTGGGTCTAGATTGGGATGTAGATGAAAACTTGGGTTTTCCTCCATAAGGATGAGATGAATGACTAGGGGACCTCTGTCAGTGTGGCTAGGAAGACGATTTTGATGAGGGTCTGCTGGACCATTGCTTGGTCTACGATTTTCCCTTGTGTAGTTTTGTAGGAGGTGTAACCCCTAGGCTGCGAGATGTCTTGATGCTTTTGTCGAGCTCTTGAAACACTGCATCTGTTGTGGAACTAAAAACTCCATCATCCTCAAATGGAAGGTCCTCTATGACAGTTTTAGTGTCTGGCTGTAAGGCAGATGAACGAAGCCATGCATGCCAGCATAAGGTGACTGAAGAAGTGAGAGTCTTTGCTGCTACATCCAGCGAGTGCTTGGAAATGTTAAGTTGATGTTTTGCCAAAAGCATTCCTTCTGTCTGGATACGCCTGGCTTGATGACTGCAGTCATGAGGGAGGGTTGAGATAAATTCTGACATTTGTTCCCAAAGGGCATATTGATAGTGTCCCATACAAGCAGGACAGTTAGAGGAATTGATACCCATAGTTCCAGCGGTATAAAATTTTCTCCCAAAAGAGTCAATTTTTCTTACCTCCTTGTCTGGAGGGGTAGAGTGGCTACTCTTGCCCTTGGCAGATGAGGTAACCACAAATTCAGCTTTGGATGGATGAAGAGAAATTCTGCCCCAGCGAGTGCTTGGAAATGTTAAGTTGATGTTTTGCCAAAAGCATTCCTTCTGTCTGGATACGCCTGGCTTGATGACTGCAGTCATGAGGGAGGGTTGAGATAAATTCTGACATTTGTTCCCAAAGGGCATATTGATAGTGTCCCATACAAGCAGGACAGTTAGAGGATTTGATACCCATAGTTCCAGCGGTAGAGGCTGGATGGTGGGTAGAGCTATTGTGCGTGCCATTCATTTGACAAAGTCTCCGTAAGGCTTAACGTCCTCCGACGGCGAAATAGGGAGGTTGACCTCCACTTGCTGTGGCGGGGACGGTCCTAGCGGTGGGTGTGAACTCTCTTCATCCAAGTGCGAGCTAGGGGAGCTGGAGCGATTTGAAGGTTCAGAGAATGACATCTGAAGGATCGGCATCGAAGTTAACGACTCCGATTGATGTATAGGAGGTTTCAGTGCTGACGACTGGAGACAGGAGCCTTTAGCAATCGGTCTCGACTGTGGAGGTCTAATGAACTCCGGTGCTGGGGAGGGATCCCGGTACCGAGAAAGTCTGGAAGACGACGATTGGCAATCCCACTCTACAGGGGGGCGTGGAGGAAGCCATGGCATCAATCCCAAAAATGGATAAGCCCCATACAGATATTGCCACTGGCACTGATCCTAGGTCGGTGGCTGAAGAGGCGTTGGTGATCGATCCCGATCCTCGGGGATGACTAGAGGTGAAGAGACGACCACATGTGTCCTTCGGTCTTGCTGTAGGTTCTTGATGTTGAGGGATCGAGGAACCTGGGTCAAGTCCAGCTCCTGGTCAGACTCAGGGGATTGGATGGGGTGAAGTGAAGGTGACCGAAGTGCACCTTGTGGCTGCCCTTGGCTTGTGGAATCAAGCGAAGCAGCTGCGAGAGAGCCTTTCTTGTGCTTCTTAAACTTGATAAGCCTAACGTCCTTGCCCTCCTTATGTTTTTTGGAAGGAGTATGAGCTTCGGACTGTTGTGCTTGAATCTGGTGCTTCGGCACCGATTTTACGGCATCGATGGAGGTCGATGGCGAAGACAAGGTGACTGTCGATTCCGAAGTGGGTGTTGACATTGAGGTGTGCACAGACATCTCCTGAGATGAGTGCTGACGGGCGAGAGCGCAAATTCCATAAGCGCCACCTGACTTCTAGCTGCCCGATTCTTCCTGGTCTGTTTGGAAAACTTGAAACAATGGGTCCAAGAGTCTACTCGGTGCATTTCCCCCAGGCATAAAAGGCAAAGGGAATGTCCATCTGGGGGGGGGGGCAATCTTACTGCCGCACTTTCAGCACCGTTTAAAGAAGCCCCACTGAGTTGCCATAGGCCGGAGGCAGGGGGCCAAGAAAGAAAGTCCAAGAACAACTATCTAACTAAATTATGTTCCTAACCAACTAAACTTGAAGAAAAATGTGGCCTAAAGGCCAAAAAGAGTAGTTTTACTGACCGGAGCAGAGAGGGTCCTACCAGCACGTCAGTCAGAAGAGAACTGGCGGGATTGTCATGCCCCTCCCTTAGTCATGCACAGTGGAGCCTGGCACGTGACGGAGGAGCGGGTGTGAAAATCCCTTTTGCTTTCCATTATATCGATCGGGGCCGGCGCAGGCGCACTATATCCCAGAGGTGTGATGCACAGAGACTACGAAGATCTTAAAATAACTCAGAACTAAATTATTAAAGGAAAATTAAACCCCTGAAGACAATGTAAGATTTATACAATGTTCCACTTCATACCAAAAATAAACAAACTTAGGGTAGCTCTAGTATATATTTACAGCTTTTTAAACATTCAGTCAAACTTTACTTTTTGGTAAGTTGGATAATGTTCACACAATCTTGTTTCAGATTTCTAAATAATATTGATGGGAAGAAAACAGAGTACAGCTTAAAGCCATGTTGGAGGAAAATATTCTATTGTTATTCTAACCAAACTAATAGAAATTGATCTGACAATTCTAAAAGTCATGGCTATCCATATTTAATCTAATTGTTAATAAAGGCAAAAGCCTTAAAAAGTCCATTAATTTCTTCCCATTGCTGGATCAAATTATAAATATTTGCAGTAGGTTAGACAGGGTGAGCTCCTGTCTCTAGTTCCAGCTCCTGCCAACCTAGCAGTTCGAAAGCAAGAAATTGCAAGTAGATAAATAGGTACCACTTCGGTGGGAAGGTAACAGTGTTCCGTGCGCCTTGGTGTTTATTCATGCCGGCCACATGACCACGGAAACGTCTTCGGACAGCGCTGGCTCTTCGGCTTTGAAACGGAGATGAGCACCGCAACCCTAGAGTCGGATTCGACTGGCTTTCGAGCAAGGGAACCTTTACCTTTTTATATCCCTGACAAGAAAGAAGCTGCCTGTCCTAGACAATATTTTGCAAAATAGGTGATTATGTTTTACCAATGTGTGTGTGTGTATAATTTAAAGTAGGGTTGCCAAGTTCCAGGTGGTGGCTGGAGAACTCCCAGGACTACAACTGATCTCCAACTAACAGAGAGCAACCCTAATTCGAAAACTACTATTTTCTAACACAAAAGAGAACTAATCAAACAGTTAAAAGGAGGCTATAGTGATAGGTTAATAATCTTTTTTGGTTTCTTTAGAATTCTGGTCATAGTAAGACATATAGGTTATGAATAAATCATTATTATAATTATAAAATAGCCTGAGAGCTTTATTCTGTCTATTATCCAAATTTTTCTTCTCTTTAATCAAATTATTAAATATGTTCTTGCTCAAATCAGAGCACAAGTTGAAATGAAATGCTGAAATTTTATACATTCACGGACAGCCAAAGATTTAGCAAACTGTTCCATTAATATTCTGTCTTCTTGGTCTACGTTCAGACTCTTGGTTGTCCTTTCGGGGAGTTGAGACTAAAGTGAATTCCAGATCAGAGTTACTAAGAATACATGCCGTAGGAACATGACTGATCCAGCTCGCAGATGAATCCCCGGCCAGCTACAATGTGTGTGTGTAATTAAAAATACTGTATGTTGTCTTCCCTATCCCCATAAGTATTTGGCTTACTGCTGGATAATGTAGTTTCTGGAACATTTTTTTATAGCTAGCAAATATGGGTCTCTGTAACTTCATCTCTGTCTCAAGTGTCCTGTATTCTGCAAATACTTAGTCATCTATTACACTAAGTCTTTGGGAGTTTACTGATGGCCTGTACACATCTCTTGGGGGGGGGACACTAGAGTCAGTTGACTTTTCAGCTTCTGGCTCTGGGAAGAGAGGGAGGAGAAGGTAACAGAAGTAACTTGGCAACAGATATGGGATTAATATCAGGGCATAACATACTGGAAACAATGGATGAGTACTGAAAATGGCCAGTCAGCAAGTCCAGTACCATAACATCACCTTGTGCAAACCTCTGTCTTTAAGATGAGAATTATAAACTGACAGTGACCATATTTTTTATTAGCCTCTTCAGTACCCAACATGACTGATTCTTCTATATTATATCAGGACATTGGAATATAAACTTTAAATCAATTGAATTTTAAATTAAAAAACATATAATTTAAAGAGTTACCAAAATACTAACTGTCAGCAATATTTGAGACTTCCTCATTTTGATACAACCAGCTGACAATGGGTGCAGGTGAACTAGTAACTCGACAAATCACTTGTGCATCTTCACCCTGAACAAATTCTTGTGGAGATGAGATATCTTGGAAAGTAAGCTTTTCTAAGAAAGAAGGAAACATCATTAATAGTTTTTTCAGCTTTTTGTTGAGAATTCCATTATATAGATAAATAAAAGATATATCAATCACTATTGCTATTTTAAAGTGTTCTTAATACCTGCTATTTGTTACAATATTGCAATACCTACAACTGTAAAGCACAGTTAGCTCTGTTATCCCCATACAGGGAGGTGTCCAATGCTGAAAGACAATGCTTTAAGACTACACAGTGTAGCATATAACAGGATACAATTTTCACTAAAATTTCTTGGGGTTTTTTTGCTCAGCTACATAGCCAGTATTAGATATTGTATTATATACCTGTGTAATCTCCCTTATACATAAAAGCCGAATAGTGGTGGCACTTCTCTAGAACATTCCACACACTCTGGAGTTGGTTGGCGCCCTGGTGTGTCACTCAGAATCTGTCCCGATCCACTGGCTGCATTGCTTGAGTCTCACCTCCAACATTCTAAACAGTTTGCTATTCCTCTCCCCCCCATAGCCAGTCAGAACACAGAGGTTATTTGCATATGCAGCCTCATTGGCCTTTGCCTCGGAACACAGAGGTCGTTTGCATATGCGACTTGATTGGCTTTTGCCTCTAACATTCTAAACAGTTTGCTGTTCTGTAGTATAGTATAAAAATAAAAACAGGAGATCAGTGACATTTTATATACATATATAAGGTAAATGTGTCCAATCTCCAGGTGAGGGCTGGAGATCACTCAGAATTACAACTGATTTCCAGATGGCAGAGATCAGTTCCCCTGGAGAAAATGGTGGGCTCTGTATCCTTATATGCTGCTGAGGTGGCCCCCGTATGACAGCCAATGTGACGTAGCAGTCAGGGCTTCAGAGCACGGGAGAGGCTGCAGGTGTGTGGGGGTGGAAAGCTGAAGAGTGAGGTTGATGATTGGCTGGGAAGGAGATAGGGTTGCCAACTGCAGGTGGGAAATTCCTGGATATGTGAGGGATGCAGCCTGGAGAGGGTGAGGTTTCAGGAGGCGTGGGACCTCGGACAGGTACAAAGCCATAGACTCCACCCTCCAAACCAACTATTCCCTTCTGGGGAACCATCATTGCCAATCTCCAGGTGAGGGCTGGAGATCACTCAAAATTACAACTGTTCTTTAGGTAGCAGAGATCAGTTCTTCTGGAGAAAATGGTGGACTCAGTGTCATTATACCCTGCTGAGGTCCCCACAGCAAATTGACACTGAGTGTCCAAGGCCAGGGCACCCGCCCAGAGCCTCTTTCTATAGGTCATTGTATTTATTTTCACAACGGGCCTTTTTACTAGTATAAAAATAAAAACAGGAGATCAGTGACATTTTATATACATATATAAGGCTTACTAATTTATTCATGATTCCAGGCTCTCTCATTGGCCCTTGAAGGGTACCGCATCACCCGTTGGCAGATGAACTGCCACTCAAGAGTAATCAGTTGGCATTGGATGGGTGCTGGGTCTGCTCTTCTCTTCCACCCACTGCAGCCTAAGCTACTCTTCTCTGATTGGGCCAGTGTTTCAAGGTCATTTGTATATGGAAGATGATTGGACCTCACTCCATTCTGCACCTCAAACTCCCCCTCCCCCTCCCCCTGAAGACAGTTGGAACTGTCACATTTGCAACCTGGTGTATCCTGAGGTAAAATATGTTCTCACCCACAACACATCACTTCCCCATCAAAAGAAACAAACCCAATAACACAACCATGCCACACCACAAAAAAAGACAGATCACACCACGAGCAGAATACCACAAGGCAAAAAATGATAGGAAAAGGTGCCAGCAGTCACCCTATTACACCACCGTATCATTGCCTGAGACCACCACGATGGTTTCCCATCCAAGCAACTTCCAGACCAGAGATGAAAACTTACAGCTGTTTTCGCACATGGACAACTTTATGTGGCTTTCTCAAGGGTGCGCCGTTTCCAGGATATCTGAGTTCATGTCGTTGATGGGCCCCAGCAAGGAATACTACTACCCCATTCTGACAAAGTCTTAACCAGAATGGTTGTCTACAAAGAGGTTCTTCTGTCGTCATGATATTTTCTAATGTGATTTCATTGTTTCTCTGAAGATCTGCCTACAGGGACTAATGCTCTTCTGTGTAACAACTCTTCACCAAAACATGCTACTTTGTGCACAATGACAACTGTCCTTCTAATTGCAGCCAGTATGTACTGAATGTATTTACACTATCCAGCCACTACCCACTGCTTAGGCATACCTTTACTGCCTCTACCTCCTGGTCCACAACAAACACCAACAACACACTGCCACTACGCCTTCTGTCGGGTGCCAATGAACAACTCCCACTGTTTTAGTACAAATACTCATATGGCCATATTCCTCTTCTACCTTCACATCACATCTGTCCTGACCTCTTTGACTACCTCTGACCTTGCCCCCCACTTCCCTTGACACCTGTTTTCTCACAGGGCACACGCGATGACCACTTGCTCAAACATGCAAAAGAGGCACCAGATGACTTTGCAAAATGCACAGATGCAGAACTTACGGAATGTTGCACCCTGTCATGGCTTTTCTGGCCCTACCCATCCCAAAATCCATTCACCAACACTGTGATTATGGGTGCTTCAACCTTACATCGTACGACCATGGACAACAATTGAGTTGATTTGATTTATTTGATATATATCCCGCCCTCCCTGCTGAGGCGGGCTCAGGGAGACTTAAAAGCAGTTCAAAAATACAGTTAGAGTAAAATACAATAAAACCTAGTATAAACTTATAATTTACATTAAGATAACAGTCAATTAAAACCAGATACATAAAATGCTGGAGCACACCCAAGCAACAAGCAGAGCAGTTTTTATAAACATGGTTTAGGTGACTGTTAGATGTTCCATATATCACACCTGTACAGTTCTTGTTTATTATGTGGCAAGCACAGGTCAGGATTTCAATGGTAGGACCCAGGTTACAGGCTGGAAAGCCAAAGCTCAGGGACATTCCTGGGTGTGTACTGTGGCTCCTTAATCGAATGCCTGGTGGAAGAGCTCCGTCTTGCAGGCCCTGCGGAACTGCAAAAGGTCCCGCAGGGCCCTGATCTTTACTGGGAGCTTGTTCCACTAGGATGGAGCTGCCATCGAGAAAGCCCTGGCCCTGGTTGCCGCCAGTCTAACATCCCTAGGACCTGGGAGGGCTAACCGATTTTGTGCCCCTGAACGCAGTGCTCTCTGGGGAACATGTGGGGAAAGGCGGTCCCTCAGGTATGCTGGACCCTGACCATATAGGGATTTAAAGGTTAAAATCAGCACCTTGAAACGAATCTGGTATGCTATTGGCAGCCAGTGTAGTGCTTTCAGTACTGGCTGGATGTGCTCCTGCATGGGGATACCCATCAGCAGCCTGGCTGCCACATTCTACACTAACTGCAGCTTACAGATTTGAGACAATGACAGCCCCATATAGAGAGTGTTACAGTAGTCCAATCTTGAGGTTACCATCGCATGGATCACTGTTGCCAAGTCATCGCATTCGAGAAACAGAACCAACTGCCTAACCAGCCGAAGATGGTAAAAAGCTGATCTGGCAGTGGCTGCTACTTGGGCCTTCATTGTTAAGGAGGCATCCAAGAGCACTCCCAAGCTCCTAACCTCCAGCACTGGCACCACCAGTGCCCCATCAAAGGTCAGAAGTGGAATACCTACCCCTTGGCCCATTTCAAATAAGGAACTGGACCTCCGTCTTCATCGAATTCAGTCTCATTTGACTCAGTCTAAGACATTTAGCCACCGCCTGCCACTCCCGGTCCAGATCTTCCGGTGTGGAGTCAGACTGGCTGCCCAACAACAGACAGAGGTGGGCGTCATCCGTATACTGGTGACACCCAAGCCCATGCCTTCAGGCAATCTGGGCAAGGGGGCGCATATAGATATTAAACAACATTAGGGAGCATACTGCTCCTTGGGACATGCCACACAACAGTAGATGCCTTTGGGACAGCTGCTCCCCTAGTGCCACCCTTTGTCCCCTGTCCTGGAGAAAGTATGCAAGCCATTGTAAGGCGAGCCCCTGAACTCCAATGTTAGTGAGGTGGTGGATCAGTAGCTCATGGTCGACTGTGCCGAATGCTGCTGACAGGTCTAACGACAACAGCACTGCCGATCCGCCTTGATCCAGATGCATCCAAAGGTCGTCCGTGAGGGCAACCAGTGCTGTCTCTGTCTCATGTCCTGGGCAGAAGCCAGACTGGAAGGGATCTAGAACGGAAGTGTCATCCATAAAGCTCTGTAACTGGACTGCCAATTCGGCCAGATCCAGTGATAGTTTCTTCAAGAGGGGATGAACCACAGCCTCCCTTAAGTGTCCCAGGGAACAAGCCCTCCAAGAGAGACTTGTTAATGATCTCCCCCATGGCACCTCAATGTCCATCGTGACCTGCTTTAATGAGCCACGATGGGCACGGATCCAGGAGGCATGTGGTAGGGCAAACAGTTAAGAGCAGTTTGTCAGTATAGCTAGGGGCTCTGGGGCAAGTGATGCTCTGTCTTCTTGGTGCTTGGGGGGGGGGGTCAACAGTGGGAGGGCTTCTAATGTCCTGGCCCCACTGCTGGACCTCCTGATGGCACTGGTATTTCTGGCCACTGTGTGACACAGAGTGTTGGACTGGATGGGCCTTTGGCCTGATCCAACATTGGCGTCTCTTATGTTCTTAACTTCCTCTAGGCTGAGTGGATTGAAATAATCTAAAACCTGACCAGAAGATGTGCATGGGGACTCAAGTTCACTCACTGTTTCAAACGTGGCAGGGAGGTCACGGCGGAGTGACAAGACTTTATATTTATTTATTTATTTATCTGCAAGATAGTTTGCTAATGTCTCACAGCCAATATCCAATTCTCTAACATTTGACCTACCTTGTGGCAGAGTCATCAATGACCGAATCATTCTAAATAATTGGGCTGGGCGTGAGCTCGCAGACACAATTGTGGCTGCATAGTATTCTTTCTTTGCAGCTTTGACTACCGTCTCATAGAATCTCATAAACATCCTGTAAGATGTTTTTGTTGCTTCGTCACAAGTATGCCACCACCATCTCTATAGCCATCTTAACTCTCGCTTCATCAGCCGCAACTCCTGGGTATACCAGGGTGCCAGCCTAGCGTGAGTGCATAGAGGATGTCAAATACAATTACTCTGTACTACCATAAGATGTGCTGTTCTTCACTCCCATATTAGTTCTTTACACTGCAAAACACTACTCTGTATTTACTCTGCCTACAAGACACAAAATCATTGACCCCACCCTCTTTCTAGAGCTCATTATTTTTCCCCCACAACGGGCCTTATTCCTAGTATATGCGTATTTCTAGGACATCATCAGTTAATATACTCTCTTCACTAAAAATATACTGTAGACATTATATAACATAAAATCAGGACAAAACAGTTTAGTTCATGAAGCCATATAATTCATTCACCACAATACAATATGGTATTGAATTTTTACTATAGTGTATTTTAGAGGGGTTTCCTCAGCTTCCTTTCTAAAATTGTTTATAAAAACTTCTGTTAACTAAGAAATAACCTGCACTACCAATACACATTTGGATTTCTTCTGCTAGTAGAAGATCCCCTTCCAACAGAGGAAGCTCTTGCACAGAGGAAGGTGCTACCATTAGTAGTACAGATCCATAGGATCCAATACTGCCCAAACCTTCTTTCAGTGTTGATTTATATCTCTTTACTTTTATTTTTTCCTTTTTTCTCCCTAAATCCAGCTATAGAAAGTTGAACTTATACATACTCTGATTTATTTTTAACAGTAGTCTCTGAATGTAACTAATGTGAATTGGTAGACGAAACCTTCCAATACTTGTACAATAAAGAAATAAAACAAAAGGGAACTAATAATGAATGACACTACACCATCATCCTAGATACTGGGATATGTACACAAGACAGGTAATCTGAAGGAAATTCACCCTTCCAAAAACATCATGACAGATGAACTTATAATAGGTGTGATATAGCAAACCAACATCCCTGGAGAATTTAAACAATTTTCCACCTGGGATAAATTCCAGAATAGCTGTTGTACCAACATGTTGCTGCATGAATAACTAAAAGTCTTATGAAATTTAATGAATAACTCATTTATTGTGGCCTAAGATTTCATGGAAATGATCTTACTTGATAAAATTAATCTGATGAAGTAGGATTTTATCTACATAAGATCATGCCATAATAAATGCATTAATATTTATTGTGCTCCATATTTCTACAGGACAGTCATATTCAGAGTCCCAGTCAGTCAGTCAAAACTTCTATTGGCATAGATTTAAAGCAAACAAACAAACCCACAGCATCATACAAACCACAGATTTTAAATATACAAAGAATCATCCCACCAAAGCCTTAACCTTATATTCTCTAACCCTCATGGCAATAGAGAGGAGCCTCACCACTGAAAATGTAATATGAGGGCGGAGATCTGATTGGAGAAAAGATACTAGTTTCTCTTCTGAGCAACTGTGCTTGTTGATCAAAAGGGAGTTAGATAGGACATCCCATATTTTTGTCATAGAATTCACAACCAAGTGAGATGTGGGTAACTGATTATGTTTTCCTGCTACTACCCAGTCAAAAATTTCAACTGCATCCTACCAAAGCTCTGACAAAAATCACCTTATGATAGCAGATAAAGGTGTGCAGTGATTACAAATAGTGCAACTCTATGCAGAGTTATTCAAGCCTAAATCTGAAGAAAAATGCATAGGATTATACTCCTTGCACCATTCTGCAAACTGCTTACTAATCATAGCAAACAATGCTTCTCAGGGAAAAAAACCCAGCTATATTTCAAACATACAAAACTGCTTTGTACTATTGTATCAGTGGACCATTTATCCCAACATTATCTACTCCAATAACCATTAGTTCTCTGGAGTCTCAGATAGAAATCTTTCACAGGTCTGTTAGTAACCCTTTTACTTAGCGATGCTAAGTACTGGACCTAGCATCTTCTTCAGGTAAAACTAGTATGTCTTCTGTTTTTGAGACACATACACTCTGGATGGCAGCTTTACATATGTTTCATATATAGTTCAGTTAAAAGGAAAGAAAGCCTTTCTAAAGTCTAGAAAAGACATGAAGTATTAACATGAAACATTATGTCAAGCCAAAATTAAACTTTGGCCCCTACCACACGGCAGGGGAAAAGCCTCTAAAAGCGTGACTTAAAAGCTGCACCAAAGTTGAAACGCCGCGGCAGGATCCCACGGATCCCCTGGCTGCGGCGCCTTTTCTCCCCGACGCGATCAGACGCCGGGGAGAAACCATGGCAAACTGCGCATGTCGGAGCATGCGCAGTTCAGCTAGGAGCCGGGGATGCGCTGGCGCAAAGACGCGCCGGCGATCCAACGGCCCGGCTTGCGGCGCGTCATCCGGATGAACCACCTCGGTAGGTGGTTCCCTTTTGACGCGCCTCAGACGAGGAAAGGGCCGGATCGGAGACGGGAGCGCCATGCCAGCCAGATGTTGGCATGGGATCGTGCCCATTTGCTCCGTCTCCAATCTGGCCCACTCCTGGCCCAAAACGCCTCGTGTGAACAGGGCCTATATATTGTGTATCTTTACAAATCTGAATGAAATCTGTTTTTGTAACAAAACAAAAAAAGATTACAGTAAAATATTTCTGGATAAATTAGTTTCCCTTATTCACCTCTTCTCAATGAAACCTTTTCACTGTGTATCCTCAAAAAGGTTCTGTATTCATATTATATAAAGTAGAGTTGTGAGGTTGATGTGCTTGGGATGTCAAGCACTATTAAAGCTTTCAGCTTCCTATGCTTATATTTTACCATCCTTTACATTTGTATATACAAATAAATCACTGTTTTGCAAGATAAAGTTCATTCAGTATTGTCAATAATTCATTTCTGTACATGAAAGATAAAAAGAGACAGCATAGTGGCTTGATTTATTTTACCATTTATATTTTACTTACGAAAAATTTCCAAAACAACAGTGGCTTCTTGTGTTTGTCCTCTAGAATCTGTAGCTTGACACCTGTATATTCCAGCATCTTCCACATTTGCATTGTAAATGGTTAACCGTGATCTAACACCTTCTTTCTGAACCACTATTCGTTGACTGGAAATGATCTTTTCTCCTTGAGGATTATACCAATCTATACTCTCAGCCTCACCAATCACTAAAAAGAATAATACAAACACATACATGTAATAATAATAGTTTTATATTATATATATGATATTCTTCCAATGGCTAACTTTTCCTACCTGCAAATCTATTTCAGAAGAATGACCCTCCCAGAATTTCAGAAGAATTTAATATTTTGAGACAACAATATGAACAATTCTCATGACATTTTGGCTCCAAGTTTAATCATGGGGTTGCTTCATCTATAAAGTGGCTTTTGCGAGTGACAACACTGTTTGAGGGGTCAAGCTAACTTAAAGAAACATTATCAGAAATATATTTTATTTATGATGTGTACACCAATATGAAATATTAAAAGATTAAAACAAGTGGTCTGAAGGTCAGATTTCACAGAACATCAATATGAGCTTGAAATAAGCGTCAGTCATTCTACATACAGAGCTGATGATTTCACATACATAGTTGATCCATATCAAATGACCAATAAGACCATATGAGTTTCAGCCTCTAGGACCTTCCTCAGTGGTCAATAAAGCTATGATAAAAAGATACACACACACATCCAGAAGCAAATATATATACATTGAAGCCAGGTGTTGCTTTCTCATATGCTGTGTGGTTGCCAGAGGTCATTTTGGGGGGGATCACGGGGGATCGCAGTTCCCCCGGGTGAGGTATGGGGGGTGGGGCACATGACGAAGCCCCCCCCGCTTCCGGCCGCCCCGCTTCCGGCCCTCATTCAGCCAGAAGGAGGCAGGAGAAGAGGGAGGGTAAGTTGCTTCCTCCCTGCCTCTCCCCACCCCTGCCTGCCTGGGGCCAGGGAGGGCCTTTGCGGGGCTTCCTTGCACTCCTGCCGGCCTTGCAGGTCCACCGCCGGGCCCCTGATGTCAGGGGGTGTGGCATATGCTAATGAGTTATGTGAGTTATGCTAATGAGTTCCCCTAGCTCTTTTTCTGCGAAACTACCCCTGGTGGTTGCTGAAAATGTATGGAATAGGCCATGGATAACTTCTCACAGTGACTACACATTCTCAACAAAATCTTCAATGATACACTAATCTGGTATGAAATCTCCCAACCCTCTGGATGTGTGTGACATCAACCAAGAATGACTAAAGAATGATGTTCTATGAAGTCTGACTTTCAGACCACTTGTTTTTAATATTTGAATATTTGGTATTGTGTACACCATAAGTAAATATATATATATATATTTGATAAAATTTATCTTTTATTTGGAAGGGACAAATTTATCATTGACCCTTTGAACAGTGCTGGTATATTTTGTGTTGAGTTTGTCTTCCCCCTTTTTGCATCCTCTTTTGTGAGTGACAAACATGCTAGATTAGTATACCAACCGTCCTAAACAGAATTACATCCTTCTAAACCCATTGACTGTTTAGGATTGTACTGCAAATGGATAACAGAATCAGTGAAAGTACACACGATGCAAAAAAAATCTGGCAGCAGGAAAATCTGCTGCTGTCCCTATGATTCTTTTTGGTATGGAGCTTCTGGAATCATCATCTTGGGGAAAACAACTGCCTGGAAACTTTGCTTGTAAATCAGCTAGCAACCACATCTATAAAATGCATTTGTTTTCATTGAGACTTCACCTTGCCACTTTTAATGTTGGTTCTCCCACTCAAATGAAAATTAATCTGTCCTTATGCTAGGTAAAAGGACATTTTGCTAAGTAGCTAGGACTGATGAATCCAATCGAGTACTGCTGCTACTTACTGTCATTTAGTAAATGGAAAATTTGAGGGGATTACACAGGGTTGTATAAAGATAGATCTATAGAACATCCTGACTGACCAAAAACAAAACAAAACAAAAAACAACCCCACATGCTTTTGAAGAATTTGTAGTTTAATTTCATAAATGCTGATACATGAAGGATTTAAACACAGAACATTGAGGAAGACAGAAAACAACTTTTTCCTATTACAAACATAAAATTAAGAAAGTGAACTTGCTCTGGATACATGAACTTCTAAGGCCATTTTCAAATACTACAGCTACCATCCAGGACAAAGAAACAAAGCTCCCATTCCCCACCCCCTGTCCCTTCCAAATATTGAAGTCACCTACTTGAGCAATGGTTCCTGGATGTACTCCCTTATAAGTGGCTTACATATAACACAAGAATATCACTTAAATAAAAGCTTTCACCTTTTCATTTCAAAGGAAAGAACAACATGTATGTCAGAGAGGGTATACAGTCCAGTAAGACTGAGAATGTAAGAGAAATAGATTCACTTACAGAAACACTATGGATGGAAATATGTGTGCCCCAAAGGAAGCTGAACTCTGGGAGTTTGTTATTGCCTACCAGATCAAAGAAGCAAAAGAAGAGATTGGATTTATACCCTGCTCTTCACTCAGAGTGGCTTATGATTTCCTTCCCCTTCCCCTCCCCACAACAGACACCCTGTGAGGTAGGTGGGGATGAGAGAGCTCTTTCAAGGACTGCTCTTTAGAGAACAGCTCTGAGAGAACTTGTGGCTGAACCAAGGTCACACCAGCTGCTGCATGTTGAGGAATGGGGAATCAAACCCAGTTCTCCGAGATTACAGTCCGTGCTCAATCACTACACAAAACTGGTTAGAGGATGATTTTTTAAAAAGCAAAAGAATTAAAGAAGGGAGATAGGTGAAATGATTGCGTAGTAATAGGGGATTTAACTAACCACACATTGATTGGGTAAATATGTGCTCAAGTCAGGAGAAAGAGATTGGGTTTCTAGATACTCCCAATGACTGTGCCATAGATCAGATGGACACTTAAACTACCAGGGGGGAAGCAATCCTAAACTTGGTCCTAAGTAATGCCGAAGACCTGGTGAGAGATGTAAACATGACAGCACTGGTTGGGAACACTGACCATAATGCTATTTAGATTAACATTTTTGTAAATAGGGAGTTGCCCAAAAAGACCAACACTACTACATTTAACTTTAGAAGGGGTAACTTCTCTCAAATGAAGGGCTTGTGAAGAAGAAATTGAAAGAAAAAGTAAGGAGGGTCAAATACCATCAGGAAGCTTGGATCATATTTAAAATTACAATCCTAGAAGCTCAGAGAAAGGGTATACCACAGGTTAGAAAAGCTACAAATAGGTATTTCAAAAAAAGGCCTGCACAGTTAATAAACAAAGTAATGGAAGCAGTAAAGGGTGAGAAGGATTTGTTTAAGTGGTGAAAGTCTAGTCCAAGTGAGGTAAATAAAAGGGAGCACAGGCTTTGGCAAATAAAATGCAAAAAAAAAAAATCAGACAGGCAAAAGGAGACTATGAGGAACATATTGCAAAAACATAAAGACAAATAATAAACATTTCTTCAAATACATTAGTAGCAGGAAACCAGCCAAGGGGGCACCGGGACCTTTGGATGACCAAGGGATAAAAAGATTACTAAAGGATGATAGGGAAATGGCAGAGAAGCTGAATTCTTTTTCTTTTTTACTACTGCCAATTTTGGGATGGGTATTAAAAGACCTGAGTTAGATTGAGGCGATGAGAGACGAGGTCCTATGACTGATGGACAAATTAAAAACTGACAAATCACCAGGCCGAGATAGCATACATCCAAGAGTTCTGAAATAACTAAGATGTGAACTTGTTGATCTCCTGACAAAAAATTGTAAACTATTATTAAAATTTGTCTTCATTCCCAAGGACTGGAAGATAGCTAATATAACCCCCATCTTTAAAAAAAAGGTTCCAGAAGAGATCCAGGAAATTACAGGCCAGTCAGTCTAACATCCCCACCAGGTTGGTTGGTAGAATCCAATTTTAAAAATAGAATTAGTAAGCAGATTGATGGACAAAAGCTATTAAGGAAGAATCAACATAGATTCTTTAAGGGAAGATCTTGCCTCACTAACCTATTTGAGTTCTTTGAGAGGGTGACAAGCATGTGGACAAGGGTGACCCAATAAACTTCCAGAAAGCTTTTCATAGAGTTCCTCATCAAAGGCTCCTAAGTAAACTCAGCAGTAATGGGATAAGAGTACAAGTCCTCTTGTGGATTAAACAATTAACAGGAAAAAGAGAATGAGCACCAATGGGCAGTTTTCGCAGTGCAAAATGGTAAGCAGTGGGGTCCTGCAGGGCTCGGTACTAAGCTGGACGAGTGGGCATCAAAGTGGCAAACATGGGCAAGCACAAGTAATACACTTTGGAGTCAAAAATCCCAACTATAAATACACATTGATGGGGTCCAAATTGGCTGTAACTAACCAGGAGAGAGATCTTGGAGTCATGGTAGTCAACTCACTGAAAATGTTGACTCAGTGGGCAAACTGCAACAAAAAAAGGGGAAATGCTATGTTGGGGAGCATTTGAAAGGGAATTGAAAACAAATCAGCAAGTATCATAATTCCCCTTTATCAATCTATAGTATGGCCTCATTTAGAATACTTTGTACAGTTCTGGTCACCACAACTCAAAAAAGATATTATATCATTGGAAAAAGTACAGAAAAGGGCAACTGAAATGATTAAGGGGGTGGAACACCTTTCCTATTAAAAAAGGGTACAGAGGTTAGAGCTCTTTAGCTTGGAGAAACGACAACACAAGGGTGCCATGACAGAGGTTTACAAAATTATGCATGTGATAGAGAAGATAAAGAAATACTTTTCTCCCTTTCTCACAATACAAGAACTCATGAGCACAATAAAATTGATGAGTAGTAGGTTTAGAACAGATAAAAGGAAGTGCTTCTTCATCCAAAGAGTAATTAACATATGGAATTAACTGACATGGGAAGTGGTGGCAACTACAAGCATAGACAGCTTCAGGAGGGGATTGGATAAACATATGGAACAGAGGTCCATCAGTGGACCCATATGCCCTCTGCTCCACCCCAACACACACAAAAAATAATATCAAATTAATATTGAATAAATGACTATAAACATACCCAAATAAATTTTCAGTGCAACACAAATAAATTCCACAACTGGTTCTCACCACCCCAAACAATTTCATGTCATCTGCAAATTTAGCCACTTCACTGCTTACTCCCAACTCCAAGTCATTAATGAACAAGTTAAAAAGCATCGAATCCAGTACTGATCCCTGTGGTACCCCACTGCTTACCACCCTCCACTGAGAAAATTGCCGATTTATACTCACTCTCTGTTTCCTATTAATTAGCCAGTTTTTGATCCACAAAAAGCCTTGTCCTTTTATCCCATGACTATTGAGCTTACTTAGGAGCCTTTGATGAAGAACTTTATCAAAAGCTTTCTGGGAGTCAAGGTAAACTGCATCTATTGGATCCCCCTTGTCCACATGTTTGTTCACTCCCTCAAAGAACACTGAAAGGTTAAGTGAGACAAGATCTTCCCTTACAGAACCCATGCTGAGTCTGCCTCAATAGGTTTTGTCCATCAATGTGCCTACTAATTCTCTCATTAATAATGGTTTCTACCAACTTACCTGGTGTCGACGTCAGACTGACTGGCCTGTAATTTCCCAGATCTCCTCTGGAACCCTTTTTAAATATGGGGTGACATTAGCTACCTTCCAGTCCTCAGGAATGGAGGCAGGTTTTAAGGAAAGATTACATATTTTTGTCAGGAGATCCACAAGTTCACATTTTTTTTAAAAAAAAGAAGCAACCTAATATGCAGTGAAAATAAAGAGACAATGTCAATTAAGAGCATTTATCTTCTCTGCCCCCTTTATTCAACTAGCTTGCATCTTGGATCCTTTCTTCTTTGCTTCCATAAACTTTTTCCCTAGAGTGTCCCAATCACAATCCTACAGAGTTTTACACTCCAAATTATACATATGTTGAGCTAGAGCCTTCTTGTCTGCATGTGCACAGATCTTGCTGAGAAAAAAAAATCCCTTCAGGAGGTCTTTGAGTCTGGTATGCAACCCCAAATGGCACTTGATAATGGAAATAGGAAAGCAGAGAGCCAAAGTACAGAAGGGAAAGGGGGGGAAATAAACAACATGGGTGGGACAGAAGAGATGATCAGGGAGAGAAGAAAGAGTGAGTGGAGCTGTTTCTGTAACAGGACTGAGAGGGATGGGAAGTGACTGGGGAAAATTAAGACTGGATAAGAGGGAGGGAGAGTGGCCAGGGCAGGCTTAAACCCATGCTGATCAGGTGATCAAAATGACTTGCATGCTTTCAGCTCCAAGCCTCTGACAATAATCTTGGTCTTCGGTGATGGCTTGTGGCACAGAATATACTTTATATATTAGTGATCATCTGCCATTCAGTGCCATACAGTGTGGGGCTAGAGGTTGGTAAGGGAGAGGAGAATGGGATATCCCTGCCTTCATGATTCCTCACAGGTCCACTGATGGCATATTATACACAGAGACAACTAAGCAAGGTATTTTCAACAAATGCATTTAAACACATCAAAATTAAACAAATATGTATACCTGTACATGTGAAGAATTTGGATACGCCCACACTGACTTCTGCTTTACTGAGGGAAATTGACACTTGTAGAAGTGCTGTAAAATATAATTGAGACAGATTTTAAGGCACATTATATATTGGTTAAAATTAAAAAGCCTTCCACATACACAGTCACCATGCAATCTTTTTTCTAGAAACTGGACACCCAAAAGGGAAACAATAGGCTGTCCTCATTCTTGGTTTTGTGGATTAATTCAAAGTAGAAGAATTATATGACAGCCATGTTCAGAGATCAGAGGTTCACCCATTTATAAAAAAACAAGACATAGAAGTCCTGTCTGTTCTGCTCTTTTTCATACTTGTCTTTCTGTATCCCACCACAACAGCTAAGCATGAAATACCCAGCATTTGTCTATTCTCACAGAATTACTAAAGAGTATGAACAAAAATCTGCATAAACTCTTCACTTTTTCTTATCCTTCATAAAACATGACAATTGGTAGTTCCATGTAAGCACTGCATGGTAAATGAAATATGTAGAGAACTAGTAATCTGTTGCCTCCAGCCTGCCATACATTTAGTATTAACACTTTTCAAAATTTCAAAGCAGTTGTGAAAGTGAGACAGCATTGGGTGGTCTTCATGTGTTAAGTGAGAAGGATTGTCGGCTGAGTTGTAAAATTCTTGGAGATTTGGGGGTGGAAAATGGAGAGGGTGAGGTTTGTGAAGGGGAGGGACCTTAACAGGGTCTAATGCCATACAGGCAAAGCTCCAAAGCAGATATTTCCTCCAGAGGAGCTTATCTCTGATGTAATTCCAGAAGATCTCCAGGCTCCACCTGGAGGATGGCAACCCTACCAAACCAAAGCTATTGCAGGGAATTCTGTGTTCTCCTGCTTTTAATCCCTATATGAAATGTACTGTTGCTGTTTTGGCTTTGGTAGAATCATGTTCTTTTTCTTACAATTCACCATGCAGAGGTTAGGCATCACATTGCACACTGCAGAATTTTATATCTATCTGTCTGTATGTCTGTAAGAATATATACACATTCACGCACACACATAAAACCAAATGAGATCTGTATTTTCACATCCCGAAAAAGATACAAGCAGAAGTAATATTGTATATGGTTGGACTCTGTAAGGCCACAATAAAGAAATCAAAACATCAGCTACTTTTGAAATAAGATTCTTTACATTTGCATGCATCTCATGTACCACACATAGAATTGTGTTTCCTTTCTCTTCACTCTCTTTCCTGATTTGTGCTTGCATGAATATCAGAAAAGCTAAAGACCATACAGTTACTAGAGCTCCAGTGAACCAAAATGGATGCTAATCTTAAACACTGCTTTATGCCTATGGTGTTGGGAGTAGAATATATATTAACACATCTAATTCTCAATGTGACCAAATATGTAGATATGTAAATCCAGAGACTGAGGCGATGAGCAGACAAAACAGATCTTTCTATAAACTTGAAAAATGCTCCATGTTTGCAGAAAAAATTGAAAACTAAAATAAAATACACTGAGGGTTAAAACAATATAAGCAGCACCGGTACCTTTCAGGAACACATGCCCTCAGTGGCCATTAAAACCACAAGAGTATTTCCAGCCTTCAAGCCTTGGTTTCTGTCAGGTGAAGTGGGCAGGGCCCTTTCAGGCCTGTTTTGGATTTTGAGGGAGGACCTATTGGGGCCATACCTAAGAGCGATTATCAGGGGACTCGCTGCCACACGACTTACACAGCCATTCTCTCCTCTATGTGCCAGTTTGGTGCCAGTTTGGTGTAGTGGTTAAGTGCACAGACTCTAATCTGGGAGAACCGGGTTTGATTCCCCACTCCTCCACTTGCACCTGCTGGATGACCTTGGGCAAGCCATAGTTCTGGCACAGCTGTTCTTGAAAAAGAGCAGTTTCGGTCAGAGCTCTCTCAGCCCCACCTATCTCACAGGATATCTGTTGTGGAAAGGGGAAGGAAAAGGAGTTTGTAAGCTGCTTTGAGACTTCTTTGGGTAATGAAGGGCGGGGTATAAATCGAATCTCCTCCTCCTCCTCCTCCCCCGCTTCTTCTTCTTCTTCGTATGTAAAGTGCTGTCAAGTCACAGCCAACTTATGGTGATCTCTGCAAGGGGTTTCCAAGGCACATGAGAAGAAGAGGTGGTCTGCCATTGCCTTCTTCTGCAGAGTCTTCCTTAATGGTCTCCCATCCAAGTACCAACCCCGCTTAGCTTCTGATAGCTGATTGCCATCTTCCCACCCATTGTTTCCTATGGAGGGAGATATCCATCCTTTTTCCAGGGCAAAGTACTGTCAAATACAAAAGAACAAGCAACCACTGGCCAAAAGCCTCCCTATGGAAACAGCCAAGAAGTCCATCAAAACCAACCAGAAAATCTCAGCAAAACCACAGGCAAGTGTGGCAAGTCCAATACATCCAATTTCAAATCAGAGAATACAAGCCAAACCAACTGAAGCAAGGAAAAGAAATCTAGCCCACCTCAGTAGAACCAACATCAAACCACAGAAGCCAAGTAGAACTCAGTGCCACTGTGGCAAGACAAGATCAACAGAACCAATGTCAAACAAGAGAATCCCAGTTGAAACAACTTGTGATCACATTTGCCTTTGAGAACAGCCTACTCCACCCTCCCTCCTGTATCCTGGAAAACATGGGGGGGGGGGGATAACCCCAAGTTTATTATTTAAATTGAAAAATACCCATAGTATTTGAACACAGTACTCTACCGTCAGTATGTTGAATGCTCACACAATTTTTACACATTTGTCTGCATTGCTGAATTTATTTTTGATTTTCCAGGGGTTGCAGGTTGCCTGCAGAAGAACAGCCATTAGGACTGGTTGACTGAAATGAAGGACAAGCTGATGGAATTGCTCTATCTTCTTAACGGAGCTGCACATGCAGAAGAGAAAGGAGTAATTTCCATTGGCATACCAAGCCTATTTGGTTCCCAGGGTGGATAATTTTTTAACATTGCCCCTCCTCTATTTTTTTTTTTGTTATCAAGTCACAGCTGACTTATGGTGACCCTGTAGGGTTATCAAGGCAAAAGATGTTTGGAGGTGGTTTGCCACTGCCTGCCTCTACACTGGCCCTGCCTCTACACTGGCCATTTTATTTAACTTCCTATATATAATCATGCCAGAAAAAAAAATCAATTCCAACACACTATTCCATCACAAGAGCCAGCATGGTGTTGTGGTTAAAGTGTCAGACTACAATCTGGGAAATCCAGGTTTGAATCCCCCTCATGCCATGGTGGCTTGCTGGGTAACCCTGGACCAGTCACATTACTCTCAGCCTAGCCCTGTCTTGGATAACCCCAGAATAGCCTGATCACAAAAGCTAAGAAGGGCCAACATGGAGGCAGGCAGCCTCCCAACGTCTCTTGCCTTGAAACCCTACAGGGTCACCATAAGTCACCTATGACTGGATGTGGGGAAAATAGAGGGTGTGTGTGTTAAAATCATCTGCCCCAAACACCAAATAGGCTAGGTATGCCACTGT